TTGATATATATAGTAAAAAGGCTTTTTAAGCACTTTTTTAAAATGTGTTTTTCATGTGAAAAGTTGTATTAAAGGTTGTCTTATAAATGTGAATGTTTGAATTAGGTAGTGTAATGAAGGGCTTAATTATATAAAAACAGTTCAGTCATTTTTTGATGGTGTAGATATTTTTTGTTTTAATATAACAACAAAAACAAAATAAACAACAATATAAAAACACTGGTTTCGGCTATCGACCATATTCTTATTCTAAACCCAGTTCAGACCAAAGATTAGTGATGAGACGAAACCATTTAAGAACGCTGCAGAGAAAATTTGGCTGCTCTGAGCTCGACTCAAGCCGGCTGATGGTGTAACCTGCAACTCAGCTGGTCAAATCGCCAGCGGCTGATTTTGGAACATTAAGCACATCACCTGTTTCTACAGTCAATCGGCTTGTAGTTAAGCCTGCTGGTTAAGTCAAAATGACCGCAGATGGTGTGTTTGCTTGCTGCTGCAGGTGCTCCGTCCCCGCCGAGCCCTCTGCTCCGTCCTCAGGTGCTCCAGTGTTGGATGGTGGATCGCTGTTGCTGCTCGGTGTATGTGCTTATGCCCTCCACAAACACACACGTTCTCATTGATGTACTAATTGGTGCTAGTTATTTAAATTATTATTTTGTTTCTGTTTTTCACTGTTTCATCACTATTACAAATGCAACTGTAGCTAGTATCTCACTATCCTCATTCATATTTTAAGAAGCTACAAATGATATTCAGCCAGTAAATAAGTCTGAAAAGCAGAAATCAGAATGGAAGTACAGAGAGTTGTTGCATAGAGATGGTACACCATCTCATGCAGTTGCATTGGTGTGAACTGGCAGGTTTTTAGAACGTTGCGTAACAGTGCATTGCAAGTAGTTAATTGTTTCAACTTGTCTCGTCACAAATCTTTGGTCTGAACTGGGCAATCGATATCAGCATTGACCCAGAATTTCAAAACCTGTGTATCCCTAAAAAATACGCAAAGTATTCTTTTTAAAAACGTATGCCCATAAATAAGAGGAAAGCATAAAGTGATCACAAAATATTGAATCAAAATGAAATTATAAATGCCTCTGCCTTTTAAAGAAAGATCACTCACATGTGAATATGCCAAAGCTCACACCTCTTTTAGTCACAGATCTGCTCGTGAGCCGTGTGTTTTTCATTATATTCTTGGTTTTATAGGCCTTTCATGTTGCCATCCATCATGGCAGCAGTAGGCTTGACTTTTTCACAGAAGCTGCAAAAACAAACTTACATGATGGACAGCGGCAATACTGTAGCTGACGGCTTGTTTAGTCTGAGGAAGAGGCCTCTGCACTACCTGACATATGTGATGAGAACCAAATGAAATAAGTAGAGCCAACAACATACACAAACACCAGTCTGGCTTGTGTGTCATCGTGCACTGTGCTGTACTGTACTATAATATTCTTACAGCAGAGAGACTATATTGGATTGGCAACAAGAGGCCTCCTTAAGCCCCAGAGTAATTAAGGTCTTACATAACCTCTGTAACCATAGTAACACTTCTACAGTACTGCTTCAAACCACGATAACTTTTGTTAAACCACCAGCAACGGCGGTGTCTCTGAATAGTCAAAATCGATGTGATGATTACCAAACAGTCTTCATACAGTCAAAACAAAATGCACAACAGAGATATGCCAAAAAAACAAATCTATCATTGTATAAATTCAGATGCTACACTTGACATAACATGACATAAATCTCACCAAATGAAGTTATGATATCCTGGAATCTGTCTGCTCCGATCTTATGAATTATTCGGAGATAAGGACCATTCATCATTTTCGTCAGACTGCTCACAAGAATGGAAGACACATTTCCCAGTGTGCGCTAAGGTGTGATTCATTACAAGTGCATTTTTGTGTGTGTGTGTGTGTGTGTGTGTGTGTGTGTGTGTGTGTGTTTTGTGTAAGGTTTTCTCTTGAGAGCCATGTATTTATGAGACTCTCCAGTGTAATTCTAATTGATTCATTACCCACTTGACTTACACGGTGTGTGTGTGTGTGTGTGTGTGTGTGTGTGTGTGTGTGTTTTAGTGTTTCTGTGTGTGACTGTGAGTGAAAGCACACCATATGTGTCTGCTTCCTCTTTTTTTTACCGTGTGAAGTGACAATAGCAATGCCTCCTGTTGAGAAAGTGAAGAGACTTAATTTTTCATGACCACATATGTGAATTATTGATGTCATTCTTCGTCAGAGGTAACAAAAACCCCCATAAAGGCTTGCAGACAAAGGCTCACTCTGACTTGCCTAACAGGTACCCCACAGAGATTCACAATTAATGACCTCACACTCACAGTGGCGGTAATATGATTCAATTAAGCCCCTTTTAGACGTGAACATTGATCTGTTAAAGTAATTGCTGCGTGATAAAAGAGATCTACAGCCCTCTTTTGTAGTATAGGAGCGAGCGGAAAGTAATGCCATAAAGAGAAAAGAAGGTTCACACAGGCTGCCTTAGTGATGAGAAATCAAACATTTTTTGCCTTTGGTTGAATGTTCACCCTCAAAGCTTGACTGCCATCCACCTACAGTGAGAGGATGATGCTCGCCCTTGCTTCATTAACTCCACTAGATGTTGTCTAAGCACCTGTAACCTCTCTGATATTTCCCTTTCACTGACATTCTACTGACTTTGTAGGTGAAGTGTTTTGCTGGATGCTCACCCTCTAAGTGGATGGTATAAATGAAAGTTGAATGATTGCCGACACCTTTAAAATAGATGATCACCTGCCCATGTCACAACAAGGTTATTCAATCAAAATACAGTACGCTCATTCACAGGGTTTCTGTGGGATTCACCAAGTTCACCAAATTTAGTACCTGTATTATGACCATACCATCCAGAATATGAGAGAATGATGAAAGCCAGTAGGGAAGGCCTAGAGTTATTTAATTGTTGTTTTTTTCCCAGTGCTTCCCAGCTGTATAAAACAAAAGCTCCTCATGATATTATGAATTAAATGCAACCTGGCCAGATAAGCAGCAGAAAATGGATAGATGGATTAACCATTTCAGAATTATTCATCTTTGTAAGTTCATTTAAATGTTTGCCTATATGAACACTTGCCCATTATGAAACCATAAGCATCCTATCTACTGTAGCTAGCGATAGGAAATATGTTTGCTGCAGGTCTGATGGTGATAACTAATCAAGAAGTGGGACTGAACAGCCTCCTGAGTGCATAACCCACTGTGACAACCATCACCCTTTGATCAGCTCGCAAAATGTTACTGCCTACACCAGACAAGACAAAGTGTTTAAGACTTTGGTAAATTAAAGTTTTTTTATAATAACCTCTGGGTAGAAAACCCTTGTGTTATGTTAAATAAAATGAAGTACACTATATTTTGAATATTTTCACTGCTTTACCTTGCCATCAGAAAGCCTTTTCCAACGGGAAACTGAAGCCGTGATCTCACCGCCACAAGTCTCCACTGACAAAAACAGTAATTTTACTTAGAAGAACACAGGAGTTGCTGGTCTACCACTGCCTCAGTTGGTTAGTGTATAAGGTAAAGTGAAGATCATATTCCAAACAGAGTGTACAATTAAAACTGATTCACTGTTTTAGGTGGCTAACTGATTTCACATATCTCTGCAACTGGAATCACTTTCCAGTTGTCTACCCGGAAGTGATTGCTGTTAGTGTGACGTCAAGGTAATTCAGTCCAACCCCTTTTAAGGCCTTTTGGAGGAAAGTGAATTCAATGCACTTTTAGACTTTTCAAGAGCTGCAAATACCTCCTGATAACACTGATAGAACCCCTTTGGTGTAAGGAATCACAACTAGGTCTGTATGTGAAATTAATTCCACTGCTGTCAGAAGAGGGCAGCTCAAGACACACATATAAAGAGCTACTATGGCAATTTAGAGCTGCACTCTCTAAAAATTGAGGAACTCACAAAAGACAGATTTAAAAAAGAATTGTCAACGTCAAAGCAGCAGAGCTCGTGTCATCCTGACTCTCAGGTCCTAGTATGGGTCACACTGCATAAACACTGGTCCTACACTTCCCACAATGCAACAAAAAGTATCTTTACGCATGGTACAGTAAACACATGTCATTCAATCTCCACACCCCTGCTCTGTGACTCAGGCTTTTGTTATAAATGTATTGTTGAGATGCCACTTTACGAAACACTTTTCTCTGTTTCCTATATATTTAGATATTTGAGCCATAACATGGGCCACTCAGTCAGGGTCTTTTATAAAAGATGATGACTTCATACTAAATTGCCGCATTTACTGAGAGGGGTCAGGCAGTTTGCTTTACAGAACAGCAGTCTGTGTGTTTGTGTGTACATTATACTCATCAACGGTGCATTCTGCAGTGTCTTGCACGGACTGAAAGGGTTTTTAAAGGGCGGTGATGATGCAAGGCTGACTCAACCCCATGTCTCTCTAAATAGTGTAAGGACACGAAGCTCTTCTGTCGCTGAGAGAGGGGAAGCAAGCACCTGAGAGCCCCTTGAATAAAGGGAAATTTATCCTCATAGACAACAGTAACATGGTTCTTACTCCCCAAAATCTGATAACTTCCCTGAGTTTTGAATAACTTCATCATTTGTAGGAGCTCATCCAGGTGAGACGTTACTCAGGCAAACTTTATATTTAGGATGATGTCATGCACCGGGCATCCAGACACATTTAATTTAATTTTGTTTGGGTGCTTTCATGCAGAAAGAAACAGAATGAAAGGAGGAATACAAAGCACTTTGCAGACACTGGCCCGCTCCTCACCAAAGTAAAATGTCTGCCTGTGAAAAATACTCACTGAAAGTGAACAACTGTTCAAAAGTATGAGTGCCAATAAAAGTTAATCAAGAGGACAGCGGGAGGCTGGAAAAGAGAAGATTGGAAATGAGGAATGTGAAAAAAAGGAACTACCAATGTGGGAAGTCACTGTCGTCAGTGTTTTTGATGGACATCCTGTTACCATAGTTACCTGAGTGCGGCGCGGAGCCTCCACGACTGTAGAGGGGAGGAGCCTGAAAGGCGTAGATGACGTCGCTATCAGCAATTGCTGTCAGGTCATCATCATCCGAAAAGGAACGCTGGAAACCCGTGGAGTACAACTCAGCCAGGATGACCTGGAGAAAGAGAGCACACAACAGAGACGCTGTGAACTTTGTGCCTGCAGAAGTGCCTCAAGCAATCCTTGTAGGGCTGAACCAGATTTTCTCTACTTGCTGCAAACCCAATAACCCCCACAAGAGACAAAAAGAAATTTAATTTAGCTGAAAGGGAAAAAAAACATTGAGCCACAATGGCCCCAAAACTGTCTCTCTGTGGCAGCTTACATGAGCATGACTCACCTGAATAAGCCAATAAACTTATGTGTGCAAGCAGGCTAATTCAGTGAGGAAATAAAAACTGGATACATTTGTAATCAGCTCAAAGAAATCAAAGTAAACCCCGAAGGTTGCTGCTTTAAATCCCTAGAAATATATCACATAAAGCAGCTTGTAAAAGACTAAAAGAAATTTCCCAAAAAAACACAAACTCAGAGAGCAAAACTTGGCAACTGAAATACATCAAGATAAAAATTCAGAACATGATCATCTGCAAAGGAAATTACACTGAGGACAAGTTTCTTTCTAATTATTATTTTAAATCTATCAAAAAAGTGTATTTCCTAGTTTCATATTCAAGTCAAATATCTTCAGTGCCCTCACAGTGATGCAGAAAAATTGTACTGTAATGTAATTGTACTGTATAGTTTGTGCTGCAACATATTTAAGTGCAGACTGAGAAGGTTTTTATTTTAACATAATTTATTTATTTGTGTTTCAAAATACTCATTTGTGATTGACTAGCACATGTCCATTTAAATTATATTTAAGTGCTAAATCTGTGTGACAGGATTATTAAACGGCAGGTAACCATAGCAATGGCCCTTAACTCACTCACTCAGTTAATTCTCGATGGTGAGACAGACCGAGCCATGGGTTTAATTGACTAAAATCCGACTTCTTATAATGGATGATGATTCATTCCCAGACAGTAAGTGGACAGTATGACAGACTGTGTGAGTATGTGTGTGCATGTGTCTGTCAAATGACCTGCTTCAGGTAAAAAAGTTTTTTCTTTGCCCCACAGAGTTTGTTTCTGTCCTCCTCTGTCTTTAGTGCTGAAATGATTGATATTAGTCAATCGAAAGACAATTAATCTCCGATCATTCTGATGCTCGATTAATCATTTCACTATTTTGGCAAAAATGTCGAACATTTGCTGGTTGCAGCTTCTTAAATGTGAGAATTTGATGCTTCCCTTCATCATTTATGATAGTAAATAAAGAAAATTTGGATTTTGGACTGTTGCTTGGACAACATTTTAAGACGTCACTTTGGGTTCTGGGTATTTTTGTTTTTACATTTGACTAAATGATTGATTAATCATAAAAATAATCAAGGGATTAATCAATACTGAAAATAATCATTAGTTACAGCCCGATTCGCTGATATGCTTTTGTGCTTTGTTTGCATTTATGCTTTGGTGTAAACTGGTAGGAATTAAAGGCAGAAGCAATAAGAGTGATGGCGGTGTGAGTATTCCTACTCTCACAGATGCAACAGCACTTACAGAGGAGAGTGGGAGATGTTAATTAAGCACAGCGTCTACACACACAGTCCTGAGAAGAGGTCTAATCAGTAAGTGAAAACACCTGTGTGGGCAGACCATGGGTGTGTAGGAGATGCAGCAGCATAACAAGAAAATCTCATCCTGTGAACTGAAATGAATTTCCTCTTCAGGAAACCAGGGAAATTGGAACAATTCATCTGCTAGATTGCAGAATAATTCAACACAGAAGTTGAACTGTGTGAGAATGCTAAATGTTTTGTAAATCTGCCCTTAAAAACTCAAAACTACTTCATGGTCCGTTAGCTGATTTTAAAAGATGTTTGCCCCTCAGGAAATCAAACAGAAGAACGTTGATGCATCAATACTGACATGAAGTTAAATCGAACTTCCAGGCAAATAAATAGCAGACACTGAGGGCCAAAAGATGACATTAAGAGCGTCACTCATCTCATCCCTCTATTACACTCAGACACTTGTTTACTATACAGTAAATCTCAGAATAGATTTTGACATACAGGTACAGTTGTTCTTAAACAACAGATAGTGGAACAATGCGCTGATGACCCATGAAAAAGGACATTTGAGTCTTTGCTTCTCTTTTACTCTCCTGCTGCTGTGGACACAGGTTTAACAAACCCAGCAGTGTTCATCATACAGTATGTTGTCGGGCAGGTGAAAGATTTATGAACACGCCTCTGGAATCTTCTCCTGTTGCCTCTCTCTTGTTGGTGACATTTCAGCTTACTGTGTGCATGCATTCAAGTGTTACCGTGCTATAACGGAGAACTCGGTTTGACTATGTTGTTTTTTTAACCTGTGCTTTACTTTTTAAGTATTGGCCATTACTCTTGTGAAGAAAATATTTTACTCACTGACTTCATGGCTGAGGTTTTAAACATGCTGACTGTTTTACTGTTTTGTGTTATCGAAACCACTAACATTCCAGATGTCAGGATAATGATTACCCAATCATCCACTGTAAACATTTACTAGAGCTAACTAACTTCCTGGTTGTACTCTAATCTACTGTACTTGGCACAGTAACGGATGGACTTCATTTTCACTTTTAAATAACAGCTTGAGGTGATAGTTACTGGACATTTACTTGTTATACAGAAGGAAACAATGCCTCCACTCCAATTAGGTATCCCAGATTATTTTTATTATTAATATATTCGTTAAGTTTCTTTTGTTTATTTATTTTTTGTGGCATTGTAATAATGCCTGCCAAAACTTTACAGAGCCCAAAGTAACATTAAGTTGCTTATGAGGTCCCATCAACAGTCTAAACAACAAAGATACTTGAATTTAAATAATATAAAACAGAGCAAAGCAGCAAATCACTTTAAATATGCTGGAACTATTAAAAGTTTGGCACTTTTGGACAAAAAAACAAACACAGATTATATATAAAAAAAAGCTTTTCATTAAAGCCCAGTGACTATTATCAGTTATTTTTCTGACAAATTCTGACTATTTTGTGGTTAATCTATTGTTTTTTGTTTCTTTGTTTCGTAGTTTTCCTTTTTTTTAGTTGTATTTTGTTTCTTTTTGCCTTGGATTTTTAATTATATATTTGTTTTACGCTATGAAGTAATATTTGTTTGCGTGGACCCCAGAAAGAGTAGTTGCTACCTTGGTAGTGACTAATGGGGATCCCAATAAATAAATAAAATAGAATAAAGATCGGCCATCACCAAATAGCGAACTGCAGTCCAACCCAGACTGAGCAACAGTTCTATCTGAGACCCGTGACAACTTTCTGATGAATGAATAAGGATAAATAATACATTCTCCAGAGTGCTGTTTTGTTTTTTGTTTTTGTTTTTCTTCCGACGGTCACGGCCATAGACATCGGGGGCAGCTAATGCAGTTAAGACAGCAACAGCCTCACTCAACTGAGCCAATCAAATTGATTGTTTGCCGACAGTTTGGTAGAGAGAACAACAGTGTAACAACAACAGCGAGAGGTGTGAAAGAGATATCAGCATGGAGCATGAAGCAATGGACCCTGCTACTTTCTGGCTGCAGACTGTGTCTGAGAACACTAGTGTTATCACAATACTGGAATTTCTAACTTTGATACTATGTCATGAAAAATGTTATTTGACACCATAACAGGGCTATAACATGAAGACTACTTTGCTTTTCTTGGTTGGTGACAGAGAATAGCACTATGACTGTATTAAACATTAACAATAATTTTAACTTTTTTTTTTTACATGTATTCTTGTGGTAGTGCACATGTTCAAAAGCCTCTGAGACTGTCACAAAAGGCAAAGAAGAACAAAACAAAATCAAGCCGCAGAAGCCTATGTGCAACCGGGGCGAATGAGGTGAGTGGTGAGAAGACAGCACTGTGAGTGAGTTAGTGAGAGGAGGCGGGGCTACAGGGGCACCTCAGCAGTGTGTGTCAAATAGCTGGCGGAGAGAAGAGAGAACCAGAAGACGCAGCAGATCATGATATGTCAATACTGCAGAAAATGAGCACTGAAATAGTTTAAAATACTCAGAATCAATATGTATTGATATATTTTTTACAACACTACCACCAGAGTTGGGTATAACGCGTCAGTTACTTCCGTTACTTTTAGAACGCTGGTACATCAGCTCCGAAACAGCAATGGCTGTTGTTTGGTTCTAATAACGGAGATAACATTAAACCTATCAGTCTGAAAGAAGCCACGGAGCTTGTGGCTCGCTACGTGGTCGGAGAAATGCTGCCGTTGTCTACGGTGGAGTCTAAATAGGTGGAGTAGGACTGGCTGACAGACATATTTCAGACTCAGGACTTGCATTATGCCTGGTACACGCTACACGCTGGTACTCACCAATTATCCCCGGTCGTCTTTCACGGCGTGTGTGATGTCATCGGGTTATTCTTGTCCTATTTTTATTACTTTCACTATTATTTGAGTCACTGTGTCTGTTCGTGTGCCAGCTGACATGTTGTTGTAGTCACCTAAAAGCATCAGCAGATGGCAGGAGCTACATTTGAAGCGCCATACATAAACTGTCAAGCTACTGTATCTTCCACAGGAAGTTCTGACAAATGTTTCAGAATAAAAGCATATTTAGAAAATGGAGGGATTCTCTCAGCCGAGGTTATAAGGGGCTTTTAATTTGAAACAAGTGTTGAGTTTGAAATGACGGTGCGATATGTTAACTTTACAAAGACAACGGAGCGGATAAAAAGTAAATATATAAACACACAGAGGGATTAATTAATAACGGACCGTCTATAATGTAGTCTGTTTCAAATGAAGCTGGGAGCCTCTGCAGTTGTGGTGAGTAAAAGCCCCGCCGCTATTTGTTAATGTTATTACTTTATGTCCGACCGTGAGGATGTACCATTGTTTGCTAGCTTGATGCTAATGACAGTAACGTTAACTCAGCGGGTTGACAAAGTGCCTCTGCTGTTTCACACCATCATTTCCCCCTTTTACACTGTGTGGTAACATCCCTAGAGGAAATATTAAAAATGCTGGGGTGTTGTTGTCATACAGTTGTCTACAGCAGCAGATCGTTCTGTGTTTCTACTGGTCAAAGTGACGGCTGTGATGGAAGAATTGGATCTCAGTGAAGGGCAAGTGGTCCATAACTTCAATTTTGGAGACAAAAAATGTAGGCTTAGCGCCCTGTGGTCCATTGCCCAATAGGAAATGTAGAATACTCAAAACTACTTTAAAATTACTTGAGTTACTTTACTCAGGGAGTAACGTTGGAAGTACTTTTAAAGTAATTGAGTTACTTTACTCAGGGAGTAACGCAGTAAAGTAACTGGTTACTTTTTTAAAAAGTAACACAGTAACGTACTTTGATTACTTTTAAAGTAACCCTTACCCAACACTGACTACCACAGCGTCTTGACCATTGACTTACAGCAGTGAGTCCAGGCTCACCAATGAGCACCTACACACGTGCATTAGGAATGCCAGGATTCAGTCACAGTCCTATTTTCCTGAAGCTCTGTTTGCAGTTTTTCCAAAAGGGGCACTTTTCTATTTATTTATTTTAGTCAGAAGATTCAGGCTTGTTTTCTTTTACATGAAATGTAGACCTTAGGTTCATTGTGCTGAGAAAAATTGTTTTCCGTACAAGTGCCATTCAAGCTTAATGTGTCTGTGCAGTACGTTGAAAGTATCCTACTTGGAAATTGAGCATTGTTTATTTTATTTTAATAGACATGGAGGTTAGTTATAGGACACAGTTTAGACATTATGAGGCTGAGACCTTTGCTGGGAGGAAAATTTAATTTCTGGGCCTCTTTGAATTTTAATTGAATTCCCCTGCCATAGATAGTTATGGTCCACCCACACAGGTGTTTCCACTTATTTTAACCTGATTCAACATTTTCTCAGGGCTGTGATATGTGGGAGTCTGCAGACTGCTTGATTTACATCTCCCTCACTCTCCTATTACACCTAGAGTTTAGTGACGTCAGATAATTTCTAGCACAACGTCAAAATTTTACCCAGAGCAGAGGTCTCTCTATGTGTGTGTGTGTGTGTGTGTGTGTGTGTGTGTGTACCTGGTCCGGGGAGATGTTGCCCTCCTCTGCCACCATGGCTCTGAGGCAGGACAGGGAACCAAAGAGAGGTACAGCCAGCCCCACCCGCAGGTACCTCTGACCCTTCGTACTGAACACCAGTGTCACACACATCGGCCTGTGGGGCAAACAGAAGATGAAGGGAGGAAGTGCGTATGTGTGTGTGTGTGTGTGTGTGTGAGGGAGGGAGGGGTAGGAGGACAGATAGAGGAAGATAGATGATATGCTAGAGCAAAGTGCCGAATTGTTTTGCAATTCTGATTTTGCATGTTTACATTATTACAGATTCCAAACACACCCTGGCATACTGAGTTATTTACATATTTGTATGCAGACACACACACACACACACACATATCAGGTGCTGCGCACATCCCGTTCAGAGACACACATATCAGCCAAAACCAAAAAAGAGAGAGAGACTAATGCAATTGTGCAGAATACAAGGACACTGGGGGCAACAGAAACTGCATTGTCAGTTTGTTCCCGAGATGTATTGAGTCTTGATGTATTTCAGCTGCTAAACAGCAAAACAAAACATTCAATAAAATGAGACTTTGAACTG